TTTTGTCAACATCCTCAATTTCCTTCTTGCTTTTCCTGCGCAGGAAATGATCAAAACTTACCCAGCCATACCAAACATGATATCGTCGGACTCGTCTTGCAACGCTGATCTCACATATATGTTTATTATCTGCCAAGCAACTATCTGGGAGGAGTTATGAGCGTCTAAATCTGCGATATGTCAAGTGATCTGTGGCGCAAACTCCACGAAAAACGATTCAAAAACATTTATTTAGGTCTTTGATGAATTTGCTTCTTCCCTGTAATAAACATAGCCACTGTACATCATCGCAATCAGGCTGTATTTCAAGGGAATATATCCGTTGAAACTTGAAAACTTCTTATATTTGAAAGCTCGTAACTCCCAGATATTTTATTGGCAGATAAAAACATACATTTGGAATTAATGAGTCCGATGATGTCGAGCTTGTTTGGAATGGCTGAGCTCTGACCATTTCCTCGTTAGCTAAGGAAGCAATTTAAGCATGGATCCCTTTTCTGCAGCTCGAAAAATCGATAAATTCTCTATTTCACTTTCACAGTTATCCGTAGCTAATAAGTGATTAAGCACATTATTATGATTTTCTGCATCAGCTGTCTCATCAGTTTGACGAAAACATATCTGAAGCAGCACTCCTTTTGGATTCTAAATGCATATAAAAACACTCATTCCCTTGCTCTGCGTCGCTTTCGCAAACACACTGTTGAAGGCTATTCTCATTATCAATGTCTCCCAATTTTTCATAGAATAAAGGTAAGAAAGTAGCAATAGTTTCGTAGTTTCGAGAAGCCGTTTAGAAAAGTGAGGCAGTACGAATGCGCTACAAGTCAATGATACCAAGGGCTTGAACGTTGTAAGTGATCGATAGATGATGAAGGCGGAAGTGCGTGCAGTGTGATAATACATTCCTGATAAGCTGATAATTTCGAAAACATCGTATCTGTCTGCGATCAAGATGCGCTTTTAAACATTGATTTCATCAGCGAGCACAGAATTGCATAGTCTTAAAATACACGGTCTACGACTTGATCTTGTAAATAAAAAGTAAAATGGATTGTACTCGGATCAGATGTACTGTAGGAGAATAGTACTTACTAGCACTCATTAATTCACAACAAAGTGGAAAATGAATTGCAGCGCCACTGTTCAGTTATTACTAGCTTCCTTCAAAGAATGCGATACACTTATAACAGATGAAAAAGGGAAGCCAAATTCACAAGGGCAGTTGTTATTCGCGCTAGCTGTCTGCTTCACACGTTACTTATGCGGTAAGCGTCAGTGAGAGAGATTTTCAATTAAATATGGGTCTGAGTCGCAAAATTTTTGAAAATTACTTACGTGATATAAGAATGTACAAATGACACGCTTAGATTTCCAAATAATTGAAATTTTTGAAACTGTTCAAAAAATCGATTTAGCTTTGTAAATTTCTTTTTGGGGCATAGCCGCCGAAACTTCGAGGTCATAGGCACGCAAAAAATTGGAAAGCGCCTCAAAAAGTTCTGTGGATTTCCATCCAACATTTTTCTCAGATAATCGCCGGGGGCAGGTGGTCCGCAAACTCGCGCTTTTCCGCAAGCGGTCAGCATAATTTTGGGCCCTGGCCAGACCTTCAGCAGGCGGTACTTCCTTTACTGTCTAATGTTCTGCCAGCGGGCAGCAACACAGAATTTTCTGCAGGCGCTCGTCAAATAATCTCTTTCAGTAAACGCTGGCCGAACTTTCACTTTTGGACTCTTTTTACGCAGTTTAGGGCTCACGCCGAGCACAGGTAAGACTCTGTCTGGCAGAGGTGTCACCGTTGGTTTAATTACTCAAGTTTGAGGTACTTTCTCTCAGCGGAAAGTACCTGGGGGCTGTGCGGCCCTCCATAAAGGACCGTGTGGTCCTCAAAAATTTTGCATATTCTCGCAGAAAGTCTGCGAGAATGCGGCCATTGTGCCGCAGCTAATCTATAAGGAAACCGCAATTGTTCTCCAAGTATTTGTCCAAAATTTCGCTAAAATTATTCCAAATTTCTGCAAGCGGACCGCAAGAAATCAGCAAACTATCTTTCCGGTGCCCGCCCGCCCATAAACGCATGTCCGCCTGCCCCCGGCGATTATCTGAGTTCTTGTCGCGCTCCCCCCCCCCCTTCCATGAACGAGATAATGGGACTGCACTAATCTTTAGTGCTTACAGTCAGATGCATTTTATATTGCTGTAGAACGTCTTCTGAGCAAGTTGCGCTAGCAATGCTGTTCTCTTTTTTGACAATATTTATATTCAAAAATTTCATAAAAGCGGAAAATTTGGGATATTTCAAGTTCGTCCTCTGATTGGGCCCAGTTTTAAGCTTTGTGTTGTGCGCGCCATCGTTGTACTGCTACGAGGATGTATCGCTGTCCTTCCTGAACTTGAGTTTTCAGTGAAATTCTTTGACTATGAAACAAACTCACGAAAGTTCTCCTTTAGAGGAGCGCAAACAAAGCGACGAAATTCTCTGTTGCAAGTGATTATTATGATTCTGAAGAGCGAAGAAAATGCAAGACGTTAATAAGTGTTCGTATGTGAACTCACGGATCGCTGAGGTGTACAAAATTCCATGCAAATGTAGTAAATAAAAATATCATCCATTTATCTTTAAACATCCAGCTTATGAAGAAATACGAGAATAGCTCAATGGCAAACACTGTTCCCTGCGCTATTGCCTGACTTGTTAGATAATTTTCATAAAATTTTTGAAGACGTGCTTTTATGCAGACCTGTTTAAGAAAACGAATATCTCTTGCTCGCCTCGTGCATGATGATAGTGTTGCTATTGCAAACTAAAACAAAGGTATGCTCAAAATACTGTGCATTCAATGCATAGGCGCGTAGCTTTTCTGAGTCGTCACAAACTCATCAGGTCTTACACGTGCGCGCTTTTACTACGACCAGGGCCCGGCGGGGGTGGCGCTTTCACAAGCTGGATACCCGGACCCCAAAATACGACTTCCCCTTTGTTTACCGATAAACAATGCACATATCATTCTTTATTCATCTTTCCTTGTTGATGCTACTGTCCTATGAACTTAAGTTCCAGCAATGTGAAGATTCTGTGCTCCGATCGCTAGCCTGCCCGCAGGCGGAAATTCAAATCGCAATTCTTGTAAGAGGAAAATAACAAAATAGGCTCGTTTTCAATGCACAAGTAACGATATGGCACCAAATTTGCTGTATAGTTGGAGAACCAGGAGCACAAAAAAGTATGAAGAATTATGAGAAACTTATGCGAATTTAAAAAATGGTAAGTGTTTTTCGAAATTAGGTGGCTCCCGCGCCACTTGGGAGCAACCTAGGGTGGCTCCCTGCTTCCCTTCACATAATTTCCCGGATTTCTTTACATCAATGTGGACTAGGTCGAGAGTATTACTATATGTTCAAATCCGCTTCCAAAACCACCAAGGCACCGCTTCGATACAGCCCCAAATAGGGTTCACAGCGTTATGACCGGCCTCGGAAAGCGCGCTCCAGTCGCAATCGGTTATTGTAAATTGTAAAGTTTCGCAGCTGACTAATTAATGAGTAGTATCTTAGATATATAAACGTCAAAGTTTGTGCAAATCTTGACCCTATGTTTTTTATAGATTTCTTTGCGGATGAACCCATTAAGCTGAAACCTTGAAAACATATGTTTTCGGCCTCGGTAGATGGTTTTAAGCTACCCTTCGAAGCAATTCCTGGAATTCTTCTATCGATTTAGTGATTTTTGGCACCTTGCAAGAAAAGTGAACACTTACCAGCAGCTAACTAACTGCTTGCACATTTTGGTGAGAGCAATGCAGTGAAGTTCATTTCCACTTTAAAATTAGAAGGTGCAGTCACTCCAATAAGCCTTTCTGGGGTAAGCTCGTGCAGGAGGGTAAGGGGGAGGGCTGCAGTGCAGTATTGATACTGCAGAAAAGGGGTGGAGAATATGGCCCAAAAAGACGGGAAGGTAGAAGGACAAAGTTTTTGGCTATCCCCTCAAACGATGACCCGGGCTGGACCAGGAAAGCCTGGTAGTACTACTATAATAAGCGCTGAGGCCGCCCATCTTATTATTTGTGTAAATCTGTTTGTCAGGGACTTACGGGGGTCAAAAATGGGGTCAAAGGGGAAGTCGTAAGAAATTTTGGCTTCAAGGGGAATATTGTTTTCAAAATTCTGAAATGCCACCTCCTGCCGGGCCCTGACTACGACCATTTATGCTGAGTCGTTGCAGTGTTGGATCGCGCAGCGATTGCCGAGTGTGGTATGCCTTAGACCTAGAAAACACGCTGTCGCGTGTAGTATGCCTTAGACCTAGAAAACAGGCTGTCGCGTGTGGTATGCCTTAGACCTAGGAAGACACGCTTTTACTAGGACTTTCTTGTGTATTTTGAAATGGTCACAGTACCTGAGAAGATGTGAGCCGTACTTTGACGATTGTTATAATGTCAACAATTGCAATAAGAAGTACTGTTGAAAAGTCTTGACCAAAGTCTATATACCAAGAAATAAATCCACATCTCTCAAATGTCAGGTTATAGATTATGGTTTTTTTCAATCATATCTCAGATATATCAAGATAGATGCTTACTTCGGTTGGCTTAAAAATAAATACCCATGCGATGTCACTGTAGATCAAGCTGCAATCTTCTGTAATTTGTAAATTAATGAGAGATTGAACCCGTTTTGTAAGAATGTTCTTGTTCTAGTGCGCCTAAAATGAGAGTTGGGGTGGGGGAGGGGGAGGGGGGATTGATGCGACGTTAAGACGAACCTGCTACTTCACACAAGACAAAAATGAGAATCTGTCCGCAAAAGAACTCATACCTTTTGAGAACTTCGTCCCTTTCAGAGAGGGGAATCAAAATAAGTCGAAAATTAGTAAACTTTAGGCTAAGGTATTTACTAACAATGCAGACATAAAATTCGTTCTATGCTCACGCTTTTATGAAGTCGTTTGGGCCTTAAACTCCAGAAGCTCAACCGTGATGGTGCGGCATAAACAGGAATTATTCAGTTGAATACTCATAATCTTTTTTATCACGATATCGATGTTGAAAAATCTCACCCATTCCGTGAAGACAGATAGGGAGGACGAATGAGACAATCCAGATTACGGCGATCATAATGGACGTATTACGGTGGCTGAAGAAGTTTGTAAAGTGGGATTTTGAGGACACATGGAATTTTACCTGAAGGCTTTTTCATAGGATAATGGAAAGCAAATGGCACACATTCTGTTAAGTGCAATGACGAGGTGTGAAATTATGCATATATTGTAAGAAATAAGCAATAAAAGTCCAACATGATGAGCGTTGCGCTTCATCGATGAGATATCGCTACAAAAGCATTCGATGTAGGCAAAGTGTTTCAAAAGTTGATGAACTCACAAGTAAACCATAGGCGAGTAGTATAAAGCGAATGTTATGCAAAGAATCATTTCTCCAGTAGACTGACTAGCACTGAGCCTTCCAAAGGGATTGCTCAGTGAAGGCAAACGACTAGTGAAAAACGCCACGAGTAGATTGCAGATAGTTCCTATACTCGAGACCTAGAAATTGAGCTTTCTATATTTTAAGGCAAAAAGGGTTGCACACTAACCAGAAATATGATGATAGCGGCTAATTGGAAGTCATGTATAGCTATAACAACCGATGCTATGCTGCCTGTTGTGTTCATGGTACAACTCGTGCTGATTTGATTGCTGGTTTGATGCTGATAGGTACGTTTACAGACCTGGGTAGATCATTCTTTGAGATTTATATAGGTTTTACTGAGTACGTCAAGCTCCGATTGTTCTGGTGAATCCCGCAGATCCGGCAGTGATGTGAGTCAATAAAAGCTACATAGATGATTGATGACTCGTTTTCATCAATCACCACAATCAATGAAAAGTCTGTCATGAGAAGCACAGCATTAATTTACCTTCAGATAATCAATGTGTTCCATAATTGATTTCGAAAAAATTAAATTGCAATTTTAATCCAATTCCTGTCAAATCTTGCCCTGTGGAACTCCAGAAATTCAAAGTGATCTACTTTATTTACTTCATAATAATACTTTACTTCATAATAGCTTTCCATACCCAACAACCATCATCACAAAAAATTTTGAAATGCAAATGCGGAAATAAAAAAAATGGAAATGAATATAACGCAGCAATATCGAGAAGAGCAGTATTGAAATGCCGATCGTGGTAGCTGCAGGATCTTTGAAATGCGGACGTATACATTACCTAATGTTTCACATCAGACGCTATCAATTACAAAATGTAAACATCCTAACAGTTGTGTAACATGTGATTCGAAATCATAGCTTTGCATGCGACCGTAGTACCAGGAAATACAAGCATCTAGACAAGTTTGTGAATGAAAACTTTCCCTAAAGTCTCTAAATATAGGCATAGGCATGAAGTGTTTTAAAGTAAAAATACATATTTGGTTATATCCTTAAATTACTCTATGACCAAGAGCCAACAGTTGTCGCCTGATAGAAGTAAGATAGTAATGACTATGTCTGTGTTCCTCTAATTTCGTAGTGCGAAATTCGCACTTATAGGCCCGTTGTTGTGCCACATCAGTAAATACAGCTTTGACTGTTCGTGATGACTGTAACCGCACCACAATTGATGAAGTTATTATGTATGACAGCAAAATGTCTGAGATTGCATAACCGATTGATGAGAGCTATGGCCTCAGTCACATCCTATTGCTTCAGCGAAGTTAATGAGTTTTTTTGAGAAATTTTTGGGCGCTAAAATCCTAAAAATGTTTGAAAGTTTTTACGTGAGTTACAAAAATATGCAAGTACTTGCTTATAAATGTAAGTAAGTGAAATAACTGTTAGAAACTTTTAAAATTCGAAATCATTTTTGCGTGGTTATCGCCCTCCCCTTTTTCTTAAATTTCGGATTATGGGCCCGCAAAATTATTGGGAAGCATTCTAAAAAAGTTTGGAGTACACAAATGAGGGAGACACTCAAGAGGCGCGATTTCTCCGCAGTTTCTGTCTCAAAACTCCAGTTTAGTGCTATACGAGTTTTCAAATTTGGTGTTATATGGTTTTCAAAAAGTTCCAGACAATGTGCGTTGGCTTGATATTTGCCTAAGGTTACACTTGCTGAGTTTGGTAGCTCTTTGCTGGAAACGGATCGAATTATTAACAAATTTGTTCTTATCTTTTAATGGGTTTTTGGCCCTTTCAAATTCCTGTTTTGAACTGATTTCAAGGCAGCAAATTGAGCAACTCGTGCAGCTATCTGATATATCTCAACGTAAACCCATAAATACGTATATCTCTCAACGTAAACCCATAAATGATGCTACGCATTTTTATTCGGAAAAATTGTCCACTTTCCCCTCGCGAATGGAAAACTCGAGACCTCCACTGATATATTTATCTCTCGTATACGTTTTCTCCAAATTGATTTTTTGATTGCTTGACATTGAACAAGCTTAGAGGAGTGACTCGGAAAAACAATATGCTGCGAGCTTTCCATCCGCTCTTGGTCCTCGGGTGCGCTGAGTCCAGGTCTGTCCTTGATCATTTGTCGAAAAATGCTTTCTATGACGTTTTCTGATCTTTGAAATTGCTGAACGAGCTGGACTAGCAATTTACGCCAACTGAGGCGTGGCTGACCTAACCAGCCAATTGCTGAGAATGAGTGGGATGTCATCACCTAAACAATCTGTTATGGCCAGTTGATATTTTGGCGAAAATCTCCAACCCCTTCAGCAAATTCCGAGGCAAAAAACCCACAAAAAGCACTTGACAACTTCCAAGAGATTTCAAGCAAAGTACTAAACTCAGCGCATACAGAAGCCCAAGAAGGGGTGGTAAACTCGCAGCCGCAATTTTTCCAACCCAGTGTCGTCAGCGTTGGAGTTTTCATAATATATTGTCAAATTGTGAACTAGAAGAGGGCTTGCTACTATATATTGGTAGTTGTTTGGCATGCTTTATGCTGGCAGTGCTATCATCTCCGAAGAATAATCTTGAAAAAGAGGCTGTGAATGTGCTTGACAGACAAGCTATCACTTGTACATAGATTTTTCAGGATTCTTTTTTTTCTGGCTGCACAAAACAGATTTGGTACCAATGGGGGTAGACGTGTGAGTTATTAATTACATCAACACGATAATCAGGAAGTAGATGGGTACTTGAAATACATGATTATGAGCAACATTTCGAAACGCGAGCCTCATTCTTAACAGAGCGATTATTCAAAAGAATCAGCGCAAACTTTTATCGACAAAAAATTCGGAGAAAAATGCTCAGAGACAAGGAATGATATTGAGCTCGGAATTTGATTTTTCGGTGCAATATGAGAGAAATTATTGAAACAAAAGGAAAAGTGATTACCATGCGCAATGCTGCTCAACTAATTCAACAATTGCTTCAAAATCAAAAAGAGATCAACTTCAGCACTAAATGAAATTCTCAACTACTCAGATAATCGCCGGGGGCAAACGGACCGCAAACTCTCGCTTTTCTGCATGCGCTCAGCAGAATTTTGGGGCGTGGCCAAACCTTCAGCGCTTCGACTCTTCTTACGTATTTTCGGGCTTACGTCGAGCAGGGGTAACACTCTATATGACAGAGGTGTCATCGCTGTTTGACTACGCAAGCGGTCACTGCACCGCAACTTTTCTATGAAAAAACTGCAGTCGCCCTCCGAGCGTTCGCTTGGAATTTGGCCAACATCTTCCAAATATCTGCAAGCGGACCTCAAGAAATCAGCGAACTATTTTTCCGGTGCCCGTTCGCTCAAAAACCGCATGGCCGCCTGCCCCCGGCGATTATCTGAGTAACTGTGATAAGCACGTCAAAACCGTCCTGAATACGAATTTACAGCTCAATTATTTTATCTCGTCAAAGCATTGCCCTGCAATGGCTAAAGCTGTATACATAATCATGATGTTTATACTTGCATAGATTCTCAAAAAAATTCACTTTAAGTAGGTGTAAACTACGGTACTGCGCAGAAGCATACTCTGCGTTTGATAATGAAACCAGCTTAGTTTTGCGTGTGGGAATATGGAAAAAATTTTGCGTCACAATTTTGTTATTATTTACGGAAGCTTATCGCGTCAACATTTTTGATCAATTACACTCTGATGATCGCAATATTATCCAATTGTAAACAGAAGCGATCAGCAAACTTTATTCGAACAAAAAGCTAAGCAATCCATTTATTATACAAATTCTGCTTCAAAGAATAATCCCTGAACAGAATGATAATTGCAAACAAAATCAAAATGTAGCTGTTTGTCGCGAATGAAAAATTGCAGATTGGAATGCCGTAGACTTAGGTGGTTGAACCTACAAATGATTAAGAGGAATCATTTACTTCAAACGTTAGCAATTGTGATGATAAAAGTTTTACCTTTGTCGGCCGCAACAGCTTTCGGAAGTCCTTGTTGAAAGCTATGATGATAAGCCTAAATGATATTACTTTGTAGATACGTTGAGCACATTTACGATATGTATCATTCAAAATTCAAGTAAAATCGTACGGATCAACTAGATGCAACACATTCCAAGCAACAGCCGTTAATGACCATTTCATCCATTTGTTATCAAACCTCCTAGCCAAGAAGGCTACGCATAATATCTGCGCTGCAAAGATAGCTGCCTGTGCAACAGCCTACAATGATAAACTTGAGATAGAAACTTAAAGGGTTCAAGATTCCAACCTGCTTCAAAAGGTTGAGTTCCTTTAAACGTTTTGCATATACCTCACGACTCATATTCTTAGCCTAGGTATACACTTGTAGGTCATTAGAAAGAAGCTTCGTGTCAAAAGAAGTGTCGTGTCAGTAAGGTACTCACAGCTTTCGCAGTCCGCCTCACTGCCACTATAGTCGCAAAGTCGACCAAGCTTGTAATGGCAAGAATACTCAGATCTTTTGTAGAGTAGACATCACGCGCAAAGCAAGTTCCATTCTTTGGTCAATTCGATTTTATATAGATTACCAATTTTAAAAATACCTTATTTGCTAAAAAATTACCTTATTTGCTACGAACGTGAAAGTGTACAGCAGAATGTTGTACATAAATGAGCAATCCACTGAAACAATTGATAAGTAAGATCACTTCTATTTTTCAAAGCTGTGCAACATTAAGGAGTATCATACAAAAGTTCCGATGAATTTTCACGTTGCATCACCCTGTTTTATATTCTGCTTATGCTTTTGAACGGAATCGCGTTGCACTTGTTAATGAGCAACATTGCCTTTTCTCATATTCCTTTGCTCGTTTGTAGACTCTTCCCCACATCAATCAATTTCTTTAACCTCGAGTTACCAAAATTCAAATAAGGAAAAGAACGTGCATTTTTCATCTACATGATTATAAAACGCGACCTTTCATGTAACGCAGTTGCGATGTATTGGCAGTTTCAATATTCTGCGACGAAGTAGGGTTGAGAAACAGTCTGTTATAAGCAAATCCTCGACACAAAGGGTCATTTAGTCTAACCATGTACTCCAATAACTTTCACTCTAAGCGACATAAGAAAGCCTTTACACGAGAAAAAGAACTAATTCAGCCGGGGCAGAGTGCGTAAGAACTTTGAGATGTTGGTGCGTCTCTATAGCTTCTTAATACCAAAAGTAAAACTTTTGTGAGAATTTCTCTGCTAATGTCTGCGACATTCTGGAGCTTACCTTTTTAACATTACGCATATTTCACAATTTTAGGACCTGTTTGAAATCAAAGAGTAGCCGCGCTCAAACCATCGCGCAAGAAACCTGGTTTTTCTTATCAAATGTTGAGCCAGATTGCGCGGCGTGCGCGAAAAGATATGGGATGTACACTGTGTAAATCGCGTACGCTGCGTACGCCGCCCATTTTGGCCCAAGCACAAAGAGTGATTCTTACCAATGGCTGTGTTCAGTGCTCTCAATTGTTTCATAAGGGACAGAATGTGTTTATTGTAAGGTTTTGTTAAGAACCCGCGGAGTTTTACAACTGAAGCCAAAAGCGCTGTCGGCTTTGCTGTTTCTACTCTGCTACCTGTGCTCCCACCTATCGCTTACTACCCCGCACAAACCACACAGGACATTTGGCTCCGTATTTTTTTTTCATTGTTTCGAAATCAGTCCGGGCAAAACGTATATTATCTTGTAGCTCTGATGTCTACTCTCACGCTGACAGCGCCGCCAACATACAGTTTTCTAATTTAAACGAGGAATCTACAGTGCTGGACATAATTATAAAGCCACTCTAGAAATCGTCGCAATTTTCAATCTTGCCAATGAATCTGTCTGAAACTTTGCTATATTGTGCGCATGTCAACCTACCATGACCCCTCAAAACGGCTAACGTCTTGTTGAATTTGAACGGAGAAAAATGAAAAAATTCGAAAAAGCCTCTTTGAAAGCTGGACAAAATTATAAAGCCACCTGGTTTTTCTAATACCTATCGCATCCGTTGACTCTTAAATTTTTTTGTACGACTACATCCCAAAATATGGAACATTTGCAACACCTACGGCCTGTTATCCTACTCAAATAGAAGCGTTCACTGCATTTTTTGCTTCCAAAAGCACCAATCTGCTTCAACAAACAACTGGTTTGAAGAGTTTTCAAGCTCTTGTCATTTCAAATGATATTCATGGAATCTACTGACCCTTCTGGATAGATGAGGTGAAGGGCGTTTTCGGAAACTTTGCGTAATCGCTGATTTTGACGGACAGAATCAACCTTACCATAGGGTTGACTTTTGCACCACAAAACTCGATTTTTAAGCGACAGAAATTACTGTAATGTAGCCATCACGACCGCCATACAACAGTGAACTTGTGTGCATAACTAGGAAGAAATTTCGGGATAGAGCACTCTGTTCAGCCGTAGTTGACATCCACTGAATGTTGAGTGGAGCACCCTACACAATCGAAGCCAGCTCAGATCACGAGATAAAACCGGAGACGCTTGAAACGTCAAAATCTTAGCTAATCTCATTCATCAGATGAAATATGACATGAAGCACAGGGGGAAATAAGGGGATCTAGGGTTATATCGAATCTTCCGCTTGCAAGGAGTTTTTGTGAAAAGTTTTTCAGGTCTAAATCGCTACCGCATCATTAGGGAAAATCTGAAAGTTGTTGCAAAAGCTGCATGCCCATGTAGGCAATGTAATAAATCAAGTTCAGCACTTTGTGGACATTGCAAACTGAGTTTTATGGTTTAAAAGCGTTTTAACCCTATGGTGAGGTTGGAGTCTGTCCGTCAAGATTAGCGATTACGCAGAGTTTACGGAAGCGCGCTTCACCTCATCTATCCAGAAGGGTCAGTAGATTCCATGATTATCATTCAAAGTGAATATGAGCTTGAAAACTCTTCAAACCAGTTATTTGTTGAAGCAGATTGACTTTTGGTGCTTTTGAAAGCAAAAATGCAGTGACCGCTTCTATTTGAGTAGGATGACAGGCCGTAGGTGTTGCAAATCTTTCATATTTTGGGATGTAATTGCACCGAAAAAATTTGAAAGTCAACGGATGCGATAGTGATTAGAAAAACCAAGTGGCTTTATAATTTTGTCCAGCTTTCAAAGAGGCTTTTTCGAATTTTTTCATTTTTCTCCGTTCAAATTCAACAAGACTGTTAGCCGTTTTGAGGGGTCATGGTAGGTCGACATGCGCACAATATAGCAAAGTTTCAGACAAATTCATTGGCAGGAACGAAAATTACGACGATTTCTAGAGTGGCTTTATAATTATGTCCAATTCAATTATGTTCTGTAGCATGAACCCTGTTCTTAAAATGCTTCCATATTTCTCTCGGTTAAACTTTTATCATGCGTTTTTTCATTCATTTGAAAAAAGTTGCCTTTGTGTGTCATGTGACATGTCACCGAGCTTATCTTTCTCGGTGTCGAAATAAGTGGTGAGGAGGCAGCAAAAAATGCGTTCATTCACAGTTTTTTCTAAAGGAAGTACCGCAACCATTTCTGTTATACTTGAAACTATTATGCCTAGAAGTTTCTTTACTCAGGAGGATGAGGAAAAAACGCTACCGTTACAAAAAAAGTGACGACAAGGCGGTGTTAGAAACTTGAAGGAGAATTAGATACTTAAAGGACGTTTCAAAATTTTCATTACTTCAATGTGAATTTTGACTATAGAATAACAAAACGTTATTTTTATAATTCTTTCCTGTTTGTTTTCTTGGCGATCACATTTCCAAAACGTAATCGTTTTCTAGAAAACTGCGGAAAACTATGGCCCGTAGTAAAGCTCGGTCACGGGAGATGATCTCCCCTGAGGCCCTCATATGAGGCTTTGCTGGGTGAGATGAGGACTGCCCACTTTTCCGTGGTGTAAGTATGCAAGGTCACCCTACAGGTGAGCTTCAGATGAAGCCCGGCAGGGAGATCAGCTCCCGACCGAGTCATCGGAGATGAGCCGGGCGGCAACATAATGTAAATACTGTGCTAAAGAAAAGAGCACAGAGAAAATCTCCGTAAGTAATCTCCCGAGTAACTTACGAAACACCGCAGCTGACGTTCTTTTGCAATGCAAAATTCCCAAACCTGCACAACTTCGGGCGCCTAAGATAGTGAGGATCGATGAACAGCTGATTGCGCGACGAGATCGGAAGAAAGGTTTTTTGCATTTTTCTTGTAGTTTTTGCTTTTTTTTTCAAAGAACCGCTTCAGATGACAAAAATGTAGATTTACCTTTCTATTCATGTAATGCATGCAAAAGTGTAATTCTTCTCGTTTGAATGCCAAAACAATGTGTATTTGTTTTATCTCGTCGTTTGCTAAGTGAAATCTCTGATAGCTGATATCATCGATTTTTCGATAACTGCCGCTATCAAAGGTCGCCAGGCCAAGCAGCAAAATCCCGCCGCTAACCGCACTCGAACCACGGCTCTGCCGCTTAAAACGCATTAGTCGTATCCATTCGACTAGTAATGCACAAATGGCCAAAACGTTCCACCTTTGAAAACGCGATCGTCCAGTAAGTGATCTGCTCGAAATCGATCGCTCCCCTGGCAATGTGCTAAGGCGCGATGAGATCAACTCCGGTCCGCCTCAAAAGAGATGCCCTGATGGGAGTTTACTACGGGCCTATGTTGGCTCGGCGGATCTTGAAGAGGCTGGAAGCAAAAGAAAGGCCAAAGAAAGTTTTTTTTGAACTTGGTAAGAATGAGCCTAGACACTCATTGTTTTTGCTTGCATGTAAGATAACGACTAACCATTTAGTGCTGCAACTTCTTTCAACCTGAATCACAAGATTTTACTAGCATAAAACTTGCCGTATAAATTTATGAGAATGATCAGTGATAGGGATACTGTCCAAGTACACACGATCATAGCATTCGTATTCCTGCCGCTGAAAACATGACATTTGAGGTCGATTTCAACCATGCACAACAATGCAGATATCGGATTTTTTGGGATGATAATATAATAGTTATAAGTACCCGTGGCATGTAACAGTATTCCTCAAAGTTCTGAGATTATCTTCGGGATTATGACACGCAAGTAGTCATTTTTTCGTAGACTTATTTTTTCTTTTACATAGTCCTACGACCAGAAATGCTAGGAAGAACCTAAAATTTGAAATTTTGTATTGATTAGGACGTAAGGCTTAAAGTAGTAACTGTGACGAGCAATGCATTTGTTGCCAAGATCACGATTATTTACGATAGTTTGAAGTGCGTCATAAAATCCGAAGTTGTAATGTTCATAGCAAAAGCTATTTTCGAGCAAAAATTAAGCGCTCAAGCGTGACTCCCCAAACTAATCAGCAAAATTGTAAATTTTGAAGAACCTCCCTGAGGCACTTTTCTCAGTTACACGCAAGGAATCTGTATCACAGTGCATAGCCCATGAATTGTCGAATCATAATGAAAGCGTGTTGGCTTTGCCTTCTTTACTTACATCCCAGTGACTAATTCGTTGTTGTATTGTCAACCTTGGCAAGAAGAGGATTAGGTTCAATGCGGCTACTGCAATTTATCATCCCACAAATATCAGGTTGTTTCATAAGTTTATAGCGTCTCCATAAACCAACAAAATCATCATGTTTTGTTAGAAATTAGACAATAATGTATTCCTCAACGTAGCGCACAACCTTTTGCTACACTCCTGTCTGCTTTTCAATCTCAATTTTCCAAACGGCAGTGCATTGGGTCCCAAGAAAGTCATCTGACCAGCGCTCACATCACTCACTAAAATTGAAACATGAACCATTTATAAGGAAAGCGAGGGAGCGGAGCAAACAATGATCTGATAGAGCGAGATTTAAGGAGTACTTTGTATACTGAAGTACCTCATAGTCAATTTTTGCAGGACAGTTTTGACGACATTTGCCTATAAGGTCATGTTTCGTCATGCAGAAAAATTCACTGAATCTGATTTTTTTTTGACTTTTTCTGTGGTACGACCTCGTTGGAACGTTGCAGTTGGCTTGCATACAATGTAGTCGACCGTCTTCTTTTGTCCAGCAATTTTCAGTGTAGGACGTCCTGCCAATCCCATAATTCAGAGACACCCTGGTCAACCCTTCGTCTTCTGTAGCAATCCAAACATTTTTCTTCCCATATTGATTGGCGAACGCCATGTTTTAATGGACAAAACTTTATGCAAAAACGCTTCTTTTCATGAGAAAAATTGCACAGATGTCGAAATTGCTCCTTTCTGCCTCTTAAGATTTCCATTTTTGGACACTACGAACTTATGGAACGACCCATACTATTAGGTTGGCACATAGGATTTGTAATCTCATTCTCTGGCATCATGTAGACTGTGTATGTGTATGCTGCAAGTCTGTCATGTAAGCAAAGTATAATAATAGGAAAAATCTAGTCACTTCTCGAAAACTGCTGAAAATTGAAGTTTCAGTTTTTTTAGCAAACATGAAGTCGTACAAAACCTAAATCAAAAATAGCAAGAAGCAGTTTTCGGCAGCATATATTTAGAAGTTGACTTATTAGAATCACTAAAGAAAAAAAATGAAATCTAAAGAAAAAACAAAGAAAGCGCTTTTGAGAAGTTGAACAAGTCAGATGCATCAAATTTGAAGGGCTATCTGACATGACTAAGCTGCGAGAAGTCAGAATCCGCTAAAACTTTGCACGTTAGTGTAATCCTATATACTGGATACAAATAACATAAACATCTGTCGCGATCTTACGGAAAAAGCCTTTCCATGCGAAACGTCCTATTCTTGTGATAAGCATGTCGATTAACCCCCATAGACCAAATCTCAACAAAATCTAATGCAATCTAAAAATCTTCCATTACACCTTAAACCTACCATAATCCTTACATAGGATGGCAAAATTTGGCAAAAATGTTCGCATTTGAGGTTTACATCATTTTCTTTATATTGTCGAAAAACGAAAGCGCGCGTACACGTTTTGTGTCTTATCATAAATGTATAATCGATCAGAAGACGAAAAACAAGTAAAGGAGATGCCTTCGAAAAGTCTTCTTTAATCTATCCTGAAATCCTCAAGCCTTTCCCGATCACCATTCCTAATTTTTGTTTCTTCTTAAAAACTTAGACTCCGATAGTTGATAGTAACTCAAAAAGTTTTTTTTGAGTTGCGTTAATTCTGCATTCGAAGGAGATATTCATAAACATTATTGGCAGAGACATCCTGTGCTAATCAGCGCAGTTTTTGTCATAAAAAATTGTCTAAGGAAAAAGCGTGCATGCTCAAGCTGTGAGACCAAGACAAAGACGTACTAGACGTTTTATATTCCTTCCTTATGGAACTCAACTCGCTTGATGCTCTGATTGAGTGTGAGTTGTCCATTTACGGAGACGTTGCAATACCACACGTTGCAGTATTATGTTATAGGTACAAAAAAAACTTACCTAAAAAATCTGTCATAACGCATAGGTAAGCATATAGCACACAGTCTATTCAAAGCAGTAAGAAGATGGGACAAGGTACAGATGCTATAGGTTGTGCTGAGAACCACTCCGGCATATTTCGAGTTTTTCTTCATAAAATCAATATCACTAAACCTTCAAGATAATTACGAGTAGCTGGGTTTTGATACGCAAACATAAGGAACGCCGGCTTAGTTTGAAAAACTAAGGCAGCTTCCTATCAAGTTGACATCTTTCAAGATGGATTTATAAGCTTGCGATCAGGCTGTGTCGTCAACGACAAGGAAAACAAGCGATTATGCTGCGGTTTGCCTCTTACAGTATTCCTTTCCTTGCAAACTTATTTCAACAAAAACCGCTGTGCGAGCAAGTGATTCAGACGTCAGCTGCGCCAGATGGTTTTGGACTGTGTTTTAGAGGAGGACCTAACCGGCGAGTTGATAGTAAAATTGGTCGCTTGGCCGGCTAAGTGCCGTTGGCTTCATTATCTCATCAATTTATCATCATATCTCACATATTGTAAGTAGAGTAGGATTGCATTTGCTATTGACCCTTTTCATGTATTCTTTGCCTGCTAAGCGTAAGTAATAGCTAAAAAGACAAGTATCACAACAGTTATTCAGTATTCCTTTTCCTACTGATCTACAAGTAATTATGAAAACTATAAAACAAGTATCAAGTAGGGAGAAGATAACAAGTATCGTGGCAAGTGTTTGTGTGTTTGCTCTGATTTGCACACGTTATTTTGTCACTTATTCCTGTCATATCACTTTTGCCTTAACACTCATTTGTTAGGTAGTTTCTAATTACAAATTTAATGTTATTTTGTTGCGTTTATCTTGTCGTTTTCAAAGATAAAGGTTTAATTGCCCAAGTTACAGTTGAGGTACGCTAGTACATCAAGAGTAAGCCCGCGTGGCAATTCATCAAGTTTAGCGAGTCTCTTGGTATTAGACGATCATCGCTTTACATATATCTCGTAGACCTCAACTTCACTAAGATTAGAGCATTCGCAACATGCTTGGTTGAGATAGGAAGGCAAACTTTTGACATAAATTTGTTTTCGACGCGAAAAGTTAAAATATGGTGAACCGATGCGCTGACCCCCGAAGAAAACATTTTTATTTCAAACTATTTTTTATTACTTGAGATTTGTGGTGAGCAATCATTTCAGGCCCGTATGCACGTACATCCCCGCGGGGAGGGGAAGTGAGTTTAACCATTGCAATGATCCCTGCTGGGGCTTTCCTCCCTTCCCCACGCGAATCCCCGTATGCAGAAAGGCAATACCGGAGACGGGATCCCCTGGGAGTAGGGGAGGGGAGCCCCCTTATGCAGAAGGGGAGATCGAGCGGGGAATTCATTTTGCTTCCGCTTTTTTGCAGTAAATATTCCTTTTTTCTTATCTTTTGATAGCTACTCGCCTTCAATGTGTCTCGGCGATATTTAGTTGTTGCGGAATGCCGTCTGCCGTAATTGCGATCAGCACACTAAAGAAATATTTCCTACATCCATTATATTCCAGCTGTTTTCATGGATGCTGCTCATTTTTGCCCATGCTGCCCATTTCAGCTCAAAGGTGTTCAATGATAGAATTCAAGGTGTATGTATATGCAGTGAATGGGCAGAAGACGTTATGCTGCCGAAAAGGGGGGGGGGTGCCGCGAACATTCAAACCAGCATTTCTACACATAATTGAAGCTGCAAATCGTGCCAGCTCTCCATAAACGCTGTAGCTATCAGCTGCATATCGTCCTTTACCCCAGGGGAATGATCCCCAGCGGCCATCCCTGCTATGCACGAGGGGAGCGATAGGGAGGGGATCATTCCCCCGAGGATCTTTACTCAGAAAAACGCGAGTCTGCTAATTTTCATTTCATTCAAAGCAGTTTTACGTTAGGATAACAAGATAAGAACAATTTATCATTTAATGTGATAGTTACAATATGTTGTACCAGCTTTAATGGATAAAACTATCATGTCAAGTAAAAAATGCGCAACTCTCGTGAATGGTCACAACCTTCTACAGATATTCGAAACTGGCAGATATATGCCCGGATTTCTTTACAAGAAGCGAATATGGAAGAGAGAGTTAAAACTGCAAGCTACAGGTCGCTGAGAGAGGAACCCGGCTCCCCTAGAAAATCTGTCATCAATTTGAACGAAATGCTTTGTAATAATTGATTGAAATCAGAATACTCGCTTCTCTGGCTTGATCTACACCATCAAACCCCTACTCCGTTGTAGGGGATGTCGATCCCCTCCCCCGCGTTGTTGAGTTAAATTCGCGCATACGGGGTTCGAGTGGGAGAGGAGAAGGGATCCCCTCCTCCATTCGAACCCCGTATGCACTGGGGTTCGCTCGATCAATACCTCTGAAACCATTCGCACCATCCCCGCTTAGGTGCAGGGGAGGGGATCGCTCCCCTCCCCTCTGTCATGGCGGGGTTCGGCGGAGGGGATCGTTCCCCCGGGGATCCAGCTCCCCTACCCTCCCCAGCGGGGACGTACGTGCATACGG